GATCTATAGTTTTCAAACTTTAAATATATGTTGTCCATAACTTTCTTTATATAACGCAAGGGCAATTTTGTTAAAAACAGCTTGTGATCATATTATTTTTTTAATTTTAGTGAAATTTTTGCATAACGTATTTTTAAAAATCAATATTTCAGTTATTTATGGAAATTTTGGAACGGGGTTGTCACCACTGTTTTCAGCTTGCAAAACTTGAGAAATTCTACGAGGTCGGTTTTTGACTTTATTTGTTGGGACTGAGATATAGTAAAAATAAAAGTTAGCAACTTCCATGATATACGCTTTTTTTAACTGTGTATCGTTTCTAAAAAATAAAATCGACGATATGTCTCGTATGATTTCTGGAGTTTTGTAAGCTGAAAACAGTGTTGAAAACCGTGTTCTGAAATTTTATTTAATAATTGAGATATTGATTTTTAAAAATACGTTATGCAAAAATTTCACTAAAATTAAAAAAATAATATGATCACAAGCTGTTTTTAACAAAATTGCCCTTGCGTTATATAAAGAAAGTTATGGACAACATATATTTAAAATTTGAAAACTATAGATCTGTTAATAACGGAGATATTACATTTTGAAAATAGAGCGAAAATTCCGCTGAGAAAACGTGGGGACTGGCCTTAATCATGTCTTGAAGAGTTTCTTGCTTGGTTATTTTGGAATTTCTTGAAGTCTTCGATTTTACGTAAATCCTTGGGGTACCCGGTAACTTAGTCAAAAATGACAAACATAATTTTTGATGATTGATGTTAAACGTTCTTTTGTTTTTAGATTAAACATTCAGCATTAAAAAATATCTAGAACATAATATGCGCCATTTCATCCTTTAGGTGTAAATCAAGTAGTACATTATGAACAGCTTTGCAGCTACCACTTGGAAATTAAAGTGTAAATCTTTCGGGGTTATGTGATTTCTTGACCTTCCAAAGTGTAAATACACATGTATAATTAAGCTTCGCACACGATTAATTAAGAATTTGAAGTGCTTTACTATACCTGAGTAACATTTTAACTAGTAAAAGTGCTACGAGCATTGTATTAATCTGCACACAAAACACATTTGAAAGTTTAGTGATTTGAACGATATTCTCGAATCCTTCCGACTGCGCCAACTTCATGTCTTTATCCCCAATACGTATTTTCGCCCCAGCCCTTACCCGGTGCCATATAACCCATATAAAGAAGCATGTACTGTCCGTTTACGATCCAATCATCCTTGCCGTAACCTCCTCTTGTACCCGCGAGAATTGGCGGCAATTACAATCTCTGTCCGCCGTTAACGAGCGCGCTCCCGGCGGCCGTCCCGCCGCCGTTTCCGCGCGTCGTAACGTCGTGACCACGTTGACGTATTAGTCAGCGGCGTGCTGTCCTCTGCCTTCTTCTCGGCCCCGGGGGGCAGCCGCCGTGTCCGGCGTAAGCCTCGTCCAGGAGGCGGCGACGTGTCGCAGCAACGCCTTTCAGCCGCAGAACGGAAGTTCGGCAGAGGTCTGCGCAACGAGACGACGACACGACTGTCGGCACCTCACCTGGGATTGATTTTTATAATTCTCCATGCTCAAATTACGTAATTATGTGCTTAGGAGAAGGCCGCCGCCGAGACACCGCCGCCGATTGCCGGCGCTCTTGTTTATCGAGGTGTTTATGTTGGGGTCGGATGTAGTGTGTCCTAGAGGTATTCGGAACGGGGACCACCTTGACTTGATAATTATCTTGTAATTCGGCCGTAAACGTTCTAGGATGACGATTGCGAGGCGGTAATTGTTCGTCAGATTGTAATTCTGCACGAGGGAGGCGAGAGATGGGAGGGACACGGGTTATGGACGGGAGTTCACGTTTCATTAATGAAGAAATGGTCGCGGACGGCTTGGTCGTCTTGGGGTTGGGGCAGGGGCGGATCGAGGGCGAACGAAAGCGATTGATGCTTCTGGGACCCCGTAAAGCATTAACGTCATTTCAGAATTTGCCTCGTAGAAAATAATAAAAGAAGGTATTCGCAAAAATGGCGCAGTCGGTGGGATCTTATAACTAAATGGTAATCAGTTATTGATTGTCAACAGAAAAATTCAAATAAAAAATATTTTGATTCCAAAATTTGCCGAAACTGAAGATTTACAGAACCTTTGACAAGAACGCAACAATCAATAATAATGGACCAGACATTTCTAAATGATTTTTTTTTAAAAACACACTATGCTCTTTACTGCAAAACTTAAAAAAAGCAAAATATGCAAATTACAGCCTTCTGAAAATCCATTAGCGGTTAAGGGTTATAACCGTAATTGCAAAGCTACACACCCCCCAACAACAATAAATAATAAATATCCCTAAAACATCAGTAGGATGTGAAGTTATGTCACCATGTGTTCTTTTGTGGTGCACACTTTGACTGAGCGGGAATCGTCAATGATATTCATAATTGCACCAAAATTTAAAACACACTTCTACTTAGGTATAGAATTATATATTGTGTCAAACGATTTTTAAAAGAGCTTAAAAATGATTTGATAGACAATTTTTTTCATACGTTAGTGGAGTACTTCAGTAACTAAATATATTGAAAATTTGTTATAGTTTTTTCTTTTAAGTGAATTTTATGTATCTATGTAATCTTATTTGTTTGAATTCTGACATGTTATTTGTACTCACGCGGCCAATATAAGTTATTATTATTACTGTTAGATCATGACGAGTTTTCTTCCTGGTGATGCATTGGTCATCATGCAAGTTTTTTAACGTTCAAAAAAAAAAGGGAATAATAAGTATTTACATAGAGTGAACATAGAACAGATCCAGTGTTAAAAAATAACACTGAGCTTAGCACGCTTAGGAAAAGCATTGAAAGTATGTTATGAATCCGTATATTGAAACTATCAAGTGGTATTTTAGAATAATAAACGCTTAACTTAATGTTTTAAAAAAGACAATAATGAAAAATAAGGAAAAAAGTGCGCCAAATGAGGCGGTGGTCAATATAAAAAAATATATATCTATATATGATTGATTAACTTTGGTATTTTACGATAAGAACATCTTACTCAGTCCACCCCTGCCTTGTTGACAAGATCACGCTGGATCCGTAATCGATGAAATATAACAAGCCAGCGTTCACGATTCATTAATGAAGAAATGGCCCTTGGCCCATGCATTATCGACCAAACCTTTTGGTTTTTCCGATGACATTTACACCAGCACGCTAAAAATTCGCGTGAATATGTGACATTTATTTGTCTGTCGATGCACGCTCATAAACCATGTACCCACTATTTCTGCGTTCTTTTATAAATGAGGTTGGATCCGGCGATCTATGACCGATTTCGTCGAGTTCTCACCTGTACAGGGGTATAATATTTCAAATGTCCCAATAGAAGATTCGGCGAATGACATTTAAAGCCCCTACTATGGACAAAGGACATCGATTGATCGGTTATTAACATTAACCTGTGATGCCATTTTAGCTCACAGAAACGAAAAATAAAAAGGACGCCAAAAATGGCGCAGCCGTAAGGATTCGGTTTGAGAAAAAACAAAATTTGTAATTTTGGCGCAGCCAGTAGGATTATCGGAATTCAAAAACAAATAAAAAAATAAGGATGCCTTTTCTTCGCCGCGAATTTCCTCCTTTGCCATTCACGATTCTAGAGACCATTATATACTTGTGCGGTTCACGAACGCATAATTACGACTTACTAATGATATAATTGACAAGTCGCTTTAATGATGCGGGCCTCTCGAATAAACCATAAATACGAGAGTCAGGCAATGTGGAGTTTTGTTCGTCACGTCATTCGAGTGCTCCTTTTTCCCCACACACTAGACGGGAACGTCACAAAGGGGCGAAAAATAAAAGGCTGTCGATGTTCCTGTTGAAAAAAGCAATTTTCAATGTAATTAAAAGAACACGAGGGCGTGCCTTGTTCGCTTCTAAGCATTAATTGTATTCGTAATTGTTTGATAATTGAGTGTAAACTAATGTATAGTGCGATATGCTGGTATACTGAATTGATGCGGTTAAAAACCGGAGGTTAGAAGGTTTGTGGTTTCAGATTAATTATTGCTGGTATTCTTTAAACAAACTGACGCTTGGCGTTTCACCAACTTTTGTGCTTGAAACCATAAAGATCCACTCGGCGAAAGGTTTGCAAAACCTGAAGAAAGTAAGTAAAAAAAAACTTTTTTAATAATAATATATAATTTTAATATAAAAACTAGTGAACTACTATGTGGGACGACAAGTGTTGGGAGAAGTATCCTTTTAAGAATTAATGAAATTTATTTATAGGTTAACTAATTAGTGATTTATTCAATGTTGATCAAACCGACCCTTCGTCAAGCAACCCTTCTTATAATTACAAAAAAAGTTAATAGACCACAAACTCGATGAATTTATGTCGGTTAAATTAAACGAAACAAATCGACGATTGTTCGTTGGAGATTGAAGAGTGTGACGTCTCCAACCCTTATCTTCCTTTGTTCTTATTTTTTGTTGACCAGCGTCCAGTCGATCCCAATGACTGCGCCATTATTCACCTAATAGGCATTATGGATTATTATCGTATGGGGGTAGATGATTAATTTTCATAAAGTCATTACAGGGTTGATGTCATTTATTCATGGCACACCCTGATCGCGTGTTCGGAATCAATGGCAGCTAATATTGTCTCCCCAATTATCTTACCGAGCCCGTTGTTATTAGAATTTAAGATTTCTGTCAATATTTAACCGTAATTTCGGTAATGGAATGGAAGTTCGAAAGTTGGGTTTTTCGTCGAGATTTGGAGATTTTTCGGTCGGGAGTAGGACGACGGTTATCAATCTACGTCGACCGAACATATTTAATTAAGAGATAAAAGACGCACGATATATCACGTGGAATCGCGAGATTAAGAACGAAAATAAATAAATACACGAGGTTTATAGATGTCTGGCAATTTGGTGGGGTTCCGACGCTTTATTGGCTATGGAGATAGTTAATGATGGTGGTTGACTTTTGCGGAGTTTTTCTTGTGGCTGCGGCATCAGGTGATTGTCGGAGGGTGAGACGTGGACAAAGAGGGCAGTTTATCAAAACGAAAAGAAAATAATCACGCATTATGTATGTGGTAAACCACGGAATACTTTTTTGCTATTGGCAGGGAAAGTGTGAGGGTGTCAAATGCTTTAATACCGTTTTATTACGCCAAGAGTAGTAATAATTAAACAGTTAAGTTTTAAGTACCTAGTTTTCGCGCGTTTTTTATGTCGCGTTAATTTTATAAATCATTCATAACATCTGCACTTTCATTTTTCTGGACACAAGCTGTTTCAGGAAACAGAGTCGTTTCCGCAATTTGCTTAATTATTAACGACTATTTTTTGTTTTGAAACATAAATGTATGTAATACAGAGATTTTAAGTATATCACCATTTTTCAGAATATATTTTGGTTCAATCTAAAACTTCTGTTCAAATTTTGAATTGATTACAAGAACACGTATTTATTTGGTGAACGACTTCTTCATCGAAACCAGTACAAACACAAGTAGCAAATGCAGTAGTAACTAAGATAAGTTAGTAACAGTAAACTTTTGTTGTACAGTTTAAATTTTTTCCCAAAAACTTGAATTTATATGACAAAATTTTGTGATGACGACAGCAGGGGCATAAAAGCAAATTTTGAGTAGCGTTTAAATATTTAGATGATAACAACATCCAATTCAACAGCAATTCATAGAATATATGTTTAATAAAATCGCCATTAGACAGGCGGAAGTCGATAGACAGACAAAAACGGAAGACCGACACTTTATAACCACAGTGTGTTCTAGAAACTAGAAAGAAATGTCGAGAAAGCAATAAATTAATCGTTCATCAAGTGGGCCCTGTTACAGTGCTTCCTTATACTCGTATATGGAAATTATATGGAAGTGGTCTTTGGGATAATAAATTCAAAATTTTCTAATTTTCGTTACAAAAAACAGAGATGAATTCAAAAATATGTTACCAATTTAAACCTGTGAAGTTGTGTATCGGTGTTGGTCACAATCAACTTCTAGACGCATAAATTTTTAAAAATACAATTTAAAATATATTTATTTTTTGAGTTTTAACTCCTTTCTTTTTGTATTATAGAACACGTATACGATGCGCGCCGGAATAGGATGTCGAATTCGACACCGACACCGACACCAATCTGAACAAACGTAATCATGACGCGCTGGATTGCCGGGACTCAGTAGCGGGTGAAAATCACTGACGTTTTATCGTCACTTATTCCATAAATATAATTAACGAAAACGTAATTAGTAAAACGGCTAAGTAAAGGAGAACAGGAACTAACAACAGAGTGTAACGAAGCAACGCTATTCTATTCTCAAATAAACGAAGTGCAGTCCGTAACTGCAATGAATTCCCATCCCGTACGAGCCGTACCGAGTCTGACCATGCCTAACCCGATGGCCATCCGCTGTCTATTATTATAATAATTAATTATGATGATATTTCTATATGATAAATAAATAAAAAAAACTATATTTTATAATAAACAACAATTACCAATACATGGATATTTACTTTAATTAACCCAATAATCATCATTAATCATGTTGTCAAAAAATACTAATGCAACATGTTTTTGGTTTTTATTATTAGAGTTTTAACTCCTTTCTTTTCGTATTATATAACACGTATACGATGCGCGCCGGAATAGGATGTCGAGTTCGACTTCGACACCGACACCAATATCGGTCTGAACTGAGTCTGAACATGGGCATGTAACGCCGCGTTATATTTTATAGAATATTAATATAATAATTAGGTATTTGTATATGATAAATAAGTAAAAAAAGTATATTTTATAATAAACAACAATTGACAATACATGGATATTTACTTTAGTTAACACAATCATCATCATTAATTCTGTCAAAAGATACAAATGCAACATATTTTTGTTTTTTATTATTTTTTAAGACAAAATTAACGATTTCGCCGCGTATACGTGTTTAATTGATATAAATTGACAACGCAGCGTTAAACCTCCATCCTTGTGTCCCTAGGTCGACGCACCCTTTTTTTTCTTTAACATTTCTTGCGGAGGTCAATTATCCAAAAACCTATCGATTTCTGAAGAAGTTGATGCATCAATCTTGTACAAATTATCATCACGTTTTTGTCATTTCGTTTCTATTCGTGTTAAAATCTGATTTTCATACATTAAAATTTCATAGTAAAAATCACATTTTAACGACAACTCAAGAGTCGGTACGTGAACTTGGAAAATCTCTTATCATTCCCCATCCATTAGTGTAATAAATAATAGTTTAAAAAACTAAAAAAACACGCTTTTATTGCTAATCGAACTAAAAACTAGAAAATAATTTTTAATGACAGAGTTTAATATTACAGTAGTAGAAGATCAAACAATCAATCATAATAAATCACCTCAAATTAAAATTCTAATAAAATTTAAGTTATTAACAGAATAATTCAATTCAGAGTAAAAAGCGTGGGGTGCTTGATATTTTAAATATTACAATCATTCTATTGGCAACTATCTATGAGAGGATAGTTATGAACCGCAGTAAAATGCACCCCACGCTTTTTACTCTGAATTGAATTATTCTGTTAATAACTTAAATTTTATTATAATTTTAATTTGAGGTGATTTATTATGATTGATTGTTTGATCTTCTACTACTGTAATATTAAACTCTGTCATTAAAAATTATTTTCTAGTTTTTAGTTCGATTAGCAATAAAAGCGTGTTTTTTTAGTTTCTTAAACTATTATTTATTTTTCATTTTTTAGTCTGCGACAAATTCATAAATTGGGGAATTAATTACTTATTTAGATTTTTCTAGAAAGAACCACTCAGTGGTCTCCGTATGATCGATCAACGGGAATTAGTTCGAAATCAATCGCCCTCACGGACCAACGGGACACAATTCATCATTGTGGTTAGTTTTACCCCCCAAATAGTTAATTTTCCTCCATGTTTGTATTTCTGAATCAAAATTTGTTATCTTTATTTAAGTTGGTGAGAATTCATGATTAGATATGTTTTAATTATAATTAATTCCTTCTTTACCGACTGTAAAACCAAAGCTATGCAGAAATTGTCCTTGAAACAGAAATAATCGGTATAGATCGGTATAATCGACACGGAGAGAGATAACCGTGGTATATACTGACACAATTAAGATGCGATCAGCCATTTTTGCACACGTTTAGTTAATTAAAAGTCCGTTCTTGTTTTTTTCATTTAATATCCGTTATTTGTATTTTAATCAAGACTATAATTATTACAACGAAGAGTAAACCAGATACTACAGGCATGCGCAGATCGCGCGCTAGCTTTATCTCTTTTACTCCACTACACAGGATCCATAAAAGAATTTATAAATCCTGGCGGTCCTAATAAGGATAATGGGAAACTGTTATCAAATTATTGCATTGTCATCGATCCTTGAGACGTGTGCAAAGTTTCAAGATGATCAGACTTTTAGAAACCGATGAAAATTAAGCTCAAAGATTCCGTTACATACATACATAGATACATACAACCCAAGCTAATAAAAGCGTGATAAAAATGCGATTTTTATGTTTTTAAATTTCGTCAGTAGATTTTTGTTCTGAATGTTCATACTAGTGGCTGGGCGGGGCTACTGTTTGCTTATAATAAGACTCTCAGCCCCGCCCATTTCCTCTCTCCATTTCACTGACTTGTTTTATTTAGTGTAAAATGGATATTAAATTATATTTTGACAAGTGGTAGAAGCTAAAATTTAAAACAAAATGTATTTTTTTACACTTGAATAAAGAATCATAAAATGAACACAATGAGGTGCTATTGTAAACGCTACCTCTCTTCTTTGGGCCAATGATATGATTTATTAAGATGGAGCTTGCGCGAGTGGGAGGAGCACCGGTAATATATTTTTTTAACTATGAATCTCACGTCTACTACGCTTATTTAACACCAATTTAATGCTTTTTAGACACTTCGTTTAACAATTTATCTATTTCCTCACCAACGGTTTAACGAATTTGCCAAATATTCTATCAAAATAATAATGTCATTAATTAGCAGATTACGAGTAGTCACTAAAATGGAAAGGGGGTGGATGGGCGGTACTATTGTTTGCTTATAAAAGACTCTGATGGGAAAAGTTTAACTTAGCCCCGCCCACCCACCCGTTCACTACGTTTTTTTTCTGAAGTGAGAACTAAATCTTTTGCAAATAGTATAACAAAAAAAAAAAAAAAATACAATTAGCGCTTTTTTTCTTTTTTTCATAGCCTAGGTTCTATTAGTTCCCATTTGCAGTCTACAGAAGAACATATAATTAACCCCGCCAACCCACCCGCATCTATTTCAGTGATTCATTTTATCTGCTTTGAATGAAAAATGGATCTTATACTGAATAGAAATAAATTCGTTAAAATGAGAACAGGGCGGGCCGGTGGGGCTAGTAAAATAAGACTGATTTTGGCAAATGATATACCCTCTAGTAAAATAGAGGGCGGGTGGGCGGGGCTACTACTTGCTCACAAGACTTTCACCCCCGCCCACCACGTTTATCCATTTCACTGACTTATTTTATTTATTCTAAAATGGGAATTAAATATAGGCAAGCAGTGCAATTGTAAACGCCGCCCCTCGTTTCTGGGCCTATGAAATGATCGGTTAAGGTGGGGCTTGTGCCAGTGGGAGGAGCATCGGTAATACTGCTTTTAAATATGATTCTCACATCTGGTAGGCTTGTTTAACACCACCTTAATACTTTTTAGATACTGTATTTAACAATTTACCTACTTTCTCACCAACGATTTAACGGATTTGCCAAACATTCGAGTGAAATAATAATATTTGTCATTAATTAGCAGTATTAGGAGTAGTTGCTAAAATGAAGAGAGGTAGATGGGCTTGCTTATAAAAGACTGTAGGAAAAAGTTAAAATTGGCCATTTTAGACAAATTTTCCAAAAGTGAAATTTTGCAATCCTCCTTTTGTGCAAGTAACAAAGAAAGGTTTTTTTTTGTAGAAATCTAAAAACACTAGTAGAGTAAAAATTACGTTACTAAAATCAGTATTATTAGGTTATATTACAGTTAAAAAACTAAGCCAACATTTTGTATAGTTTTTGAAATATGATGCTATAAAGAACTAAAAACGCAGGGTAAAAAATCTCAACCAAGTGGTATTTAAAGAGGCAGAATTAATAGATATACAAGCAAAGGCTATTGCATAGACTTCTTTGGAATTCAAATTTCAATAACCAATCAAAATCCGAACATAGATTCGTAAATTTATGGTATTTTCATAAGATGATCAGTTATTTCAAAAATACAACATGCACGACTAAAAATTTACATAAAATATTACATACTGTATCAAATCACTTCACGTTTCTCTAAAAATAAAGGCACAATTTGTTTTTGTATTAACTAAACGAAGAATGAGAAAATGTTATTGTTACCTACATCAAACCAGAATTATAATTGATTTTATTGTGAAGTGTTGTATTTGTGTGTTAAACTTGAAAAGCAAGAAAAGCACAATTCACACAAATTTTGGGGGAGACAATATAAACACAGATTTCTAATTTGTTCTTAATTTCCACCACAAGTCTACTTGAATTAAGCTTCTAGTAGTCAGAATCCAGATGGAAAATCAATCCTCCCACGACTGTATACGTCTGATTTGGAAGCTAGATTTAACATTTGAATTAATGAGGTTGTTCTAGGAATTAAATATTACAAATTCAACTGTGTCGTTCGTTAATTATGTAAGTAAATTCAAACCACAATTTAGAATTAATCAAATAAAATGGCATCGGTCAAGTGCCATAACATTTAGTTATATCAATAGGCAATATTTTCGAAAATCTCGATAATATCCGTGCCCTTTGAAGTTCGCCCCGACCTTCCCGACCCTCGTGAACTACATACTTAAGAGAACGTGCATATTTTCATTACGGCTTTAATTTCCTTTAGATTACATCGTCAAAGCGAAAAAATAATTCGAAATAGAATTCCGACGACATTAAAAACTTTTAAACTAAACGGCAAGCTTAATTTCACTTTACATCAATAAAATAAAAAAAACTTAAAACGTCTCTCGCCCGCGCGATTTTTAAGCCACGTCGACCCCAAGACACCCCTTTCATAAGCGTCCCCGCGAAATATAATTAGCGCCCCCTTTCGCCTCCCTATCTTCAGATTAATTCCGGTCCCATCACGTGTTCGGGAGATAAAAAAAAAACTAAACCGACTTACACCAATAACTGCTAATTAAATTAACTTTTTAATGGCGCTCTTTTTCATGGCTTGCCTTGCAAATGGCCCGAATTTATCCCGATGCTCTCTTGTTATCTGTATATTATCTTCAGAAAAAGGGTTGTCCCGTTTTAATTGCACATTGTTTGTCTTGTCGCGTTTTGTTTTTTTAATCGGCGATTTTCTTTCGTTTATCCTCGGCGAATTTCTCGCGTTTGGGGTGATGGATATTCGTTTTTTCGTAAACGCTGGAGGCTCAGATAAAGAGCAAAACGAATCGAGATACTTAAAACGAAGGCTAATATATGTATGAATACACTTCACTGTATACTACAATAAATATACTAGAATAAATTTTAGTAAGTTATTTCTTTTTTAAGTCTTTTTGTATCTGGAGTGACGCAGGGCTGAAGCTTAACACATATATATTTTACATCTCTGTGAATGACACATATAATATTTTTTGCGTGATTTGTTTATAACAATAACGTATTATATTGTAAAAACTTGCAATGTAATGCTAAGACTATTACCCTGTACATCAATAATACATTAAACATAAATAAAATCTTCTCTTTAATCAAAACTTTAATATATTACTTATTCACAGACTTGGAAACTCGTTTTCCATTTCTCCCAATACAATTTTTGTTCATTTGAAGTAATGGTTAGCTACATGTTTTTTAATGTAAATGCTAGCTGAAGTTATGACCTTGCAATTGCTTGTTAAAGTGTTTAATTTTAATTATTGGATGTTAGCGGGGCCATAAATTAAATGCATAATGGGGGCGAGGTTGGCCACCCGAGGGTTTTTATGTATTTATCAAACAATACTATATAGCCTATAATTTGCTTTTTCATTAGTCCTGTGTGTTCGTTCCGGTAATTACGAGTTTATCGAACATTTTATCGGCAACACACACCAACAAGCGACAGTTTATCGTTAATTAAAAATTGAATTATTCGCAACGAGCAATGGATAGTTGGAAATTTGGGACAAGTTTCATTTACACGAGTTCAAATCGGTGTTATTTCTCTGACTCCTTTTTCTGATTTTACTTTCCGAGCGTAAGCTAAGGAAGTATTGTAATAGGGTCCATCCGACGAGTGGCTACTGTCTCGAAGTTGCAGTACGAAAAGTATGTCTCTCGCTCCCATCTATTTCTCGTCTGTGACAGATAATCTCCGAAACTACTGGACCGATTGTCATCAAATTATGTAGGTATGATAGGAATATCGTGTAGATGATAAAACACTACACAAAATTTGTCTAGTGGTCTCCACCACCAATGGAATACGTCATCTCCAAAATTTACAATAGTAAGCGCCGGTTAATCAAAAACGAATTAAATATTTAATCCTCGATTAATTTAACATAGGATTAAAATGTAGAATGAGCCCGTGATTGGTTAAAACATGCACGTTGCATAGGAACGGACCTCAATTAAAAGTTAATTAAATTTTAATTCGTTTTCTATTAAACCGGTCCCTAAATAATATTTAAATTTTATAAATCAGGTACTCCCGCAACAATTTTTACTTTATGAACATAACATTCACTGAAACCGACCTCATTTGAACAAATAATACATAAGCTTTAAATTGGATCAACAATAGTTCTTTGTGTCTGAAATATTCCACTTAAGCTACTATTTTCTTCAACGTCAATTTCTTACACGGCAAACGAGTTTTTCATTATCAAAAAAAGAAACACGTGTCCCATAATTCTAAGATTTTTCCTTAATTAATCCATTAAATAATAATAACTTCTATGAGCTACGTGTCGGCAATTATAATTCCGGTCAAACCTCAAGTGTAAATTTTCCAGAAATATCATCATGCAACTGCAATTGAAATTAAAGTCCATTAAGACTTAAATACGATGTCGACGTAAGCACAAAGATTAAAAAACGGATATAAATATATCTCCTACTAAATAAAGATTAGTAGTAGAATGATCATGAAGACCATTATTGTGATAACTATTCTCTCACTCGGGACAGCAATAAAATTACGTAACTTTATGTGCTTCTAAATTTCAAATTCCTTAATACTTCGGTTTTAGCGTCAAATTTCCAAAAATGTAACCGCAAACAACCTGATTTGAAAGAGTGTATTTTGAAAGCTGCTCAACATGGCACAACTCAACTCACTAGACCTTACAGTGAGTTGAACATCCCAAACGTGGATCCTTATGAGCTGACTGAAATGAGTTTATCAGGAGGTGATGGTCCAGTGGCAGTTGATCAAAAGTTTACGAACTGTAAATTTTACGGGCTGCCTCAAATGAAACTCAAACAGTTTGAGTAAGTTGATTTTTTGTTTTGTTTTCGACAACTGTTGCCAGTTTCAAATTAGTTTTATGTTTTTTCCGGATATTGTTCCTAAAAATTTGTCTTGTAATTAATTATTTTTATCCAGAAAGTTCAAATTTCATGTAGATGAAAATTTGTCGCAGATTCGACTTCGACAAAAAAAAGTTAGATGTAAAAGGCACCTTCCCAGAAATTCAGATGGAGTGTAACTACGAAATGAAAGGTAGAATACTCGTGCTGCCTGTAAACGGTCAAGGAGATAGCACCGTCATTTTAAGTAAGTCTTCAACGGTAAATTATTTGAAACGTGAATTTTATCTTTTCAGAAAATCTGAAAATAACCAATCTCTTCAAGTACCAAGAAATAAAAAAGAAGAACAAAACTTACATCAACTTTCTGTCTGGCGAATTAACTATGGATCCAGAATTAGTCACTTTCAACTTTCGTAATCGTGTGGATAGAAGACTTAGCGATAATCTAAATCCTGTACTTAACGAAAATTGGAAGGAAATTTTCGACGACGTGAAAAGCAGCTACGCTGAAGTCATAAACCAGATCGTTCTAAATCTGCTAAACAAGTTCTTTTCTAAACTTTCGTTAGAAGAAGCCCTCGACGATTAATACCCAAATGTATGCAACTCCGAGTAAATTTTCCCGATAACAATTACATAATTATCGTCTCTTTCCCGCTCATCCTCTCCCTGAAAATCCCTCGGTAATCCTAACCTCAAAATTCATCCCCTCAGCGAACCGTATGATTTCCAATCTGTTTAAAAACTTTTATAATTGAATAATTTTTCAATAAAAACAAGCGAAGCACGCCAACTTGTACCGGCGGCTTGATTGAAAAAAGAAAATCCAATACGAACTGAGCCAGTCTCGTGGAAAATTGTCAGTACCGGGAGATCTTATTATCGATGCATACTTTTGTTTTATGTTCCACTTAATAAGCCGGATTTCCTTTCCATCTATCTGTGTTTTTACGAAAAGGCTCGTCGGGTTTAATACCAGAGACACTCGCTGTCGGTGATTGTTTTCGAGGCGGTTTTTCCGGATGACGTCACGTGAAAAATATAATTGGAGCCTTCTAACGAGAGAATACCTAATTAAGTGTATAAGGTGTCATCCGGTCTTGATACGCGAGTGGGATGAACGATAGGGGATTAGAAAAGCAGTGGCGTCGAGTTTTCCGCTTTATCATATTTCCTTTCTGCCCGTTGAGTTCGCCATATGTGATGCATTTTATTATAATATTTATGTAAAAATATTTTCATTGCCAATTTTTCAGGTTTTCAATGTGTTTCACGATTTATTTCTTTATTTTCACTTTTGGTGTGACTTTGCTGTCTTTACTTGCTTTCCTAATCTGTTCAGGCTATCGTCATGAGTCTTCAAACACTAATTATATTACATTATTTCTTCTTCTCCTTTCATTTATATGTATTCTAGAACTCAACTGCTTTTCTTGTATGTAGGTTACAAAAAATCAAAATAACTTAGGAACTATCTATTTTAACTTTATCTTTTGAGGCACATTTTGCATAAATACAAGTGTGTCAATGAAAACTTCAAATTGGAGTATTTCTGTAATAGAAAAAATCAAAATTGTACTATAACAGCTTTTCGATTTTTGGATTCCTCGATTTTTCAACTTCCGATTTCTCAATTTTTCAATATTTCGGTTTCAGGATTTTTTCAATTGTTCGATTATGTACTTCATTTTTCGATATTTCAATTTTGAAATTGTTCAATTTTTCTGTTCTTCAATTTGTCCATTTTTTATTTTACAAATTCTTAATCTTACGGTATTTCCGTTTTTCAATTTTTAAAATTTTCGATTTTTCGACTATTCGATTTCCCGATCTTTTAATTTTTCGATTCTTCTATTTTTCAGTTTCTCGATTTTTCGATTTATCGCTTTATCAATTTTTTGATACTTCAATTTTGACATTTTTCAACATTCGGGTTCTTAAATTTTTCGATTTTTCGTTTCCATTTTTCAATTTTTCATTTCTTCGATTTTTTGATGTTTTGATATATTGGTTTTTCAACATTTCGATTCTTCTGTTTTTCGTTTCCATTTTTCGATTTATCGATTGTCTACTTTTTGATTTTTCAATTTTCCGCAGTTTTAATTTTTAGATTGTTCGATCTTTTGATTTCTTGACTTATCGGTTTTTCGATTTTTAAAATTCGATTTTTCAATTTTTGGAGATCCATTCTTGTTCAACTGTGGATAATTTGACGTTGGGTTTTCCCGCCTCTTGAACGTGTGAATTGTTTTGGGCTTTATTAAAAATTAAGTCATCTCCAGGTGTGACAAGCCAGGATATGAAAAATGTCATGGTTTTAGGGAAACATTAATGAAATTACCTAAAAAAAAGTAATCAGTAGGACCAGAACAAAAATCACTTTGTCAAAGTTTACTAAGACACATACAAAATAAAATATATACATGCTAGAAAGACAGTTGGAGAAAAAAAATACAAAAATGTTCCAAACAATTTTCAGTTGATATATTTTGAAAAAAAAAAAAAAATAGTAAAATTGTTACGAAAAGATAATAATCAGTGTGAATTTTAAAATATTCGAAAAACCTTTATGAGTGAAACTCTTTAATTTTTTTTTACAATATGGCCAGTGGGAGCTCTTTTGACCTGTCCGAGCGCTGTTGTCACACTGGATTATGAAATAGTTTACTGAAATTATTTGCCATTTAACATTGTATTTTTTTAATTCAATAACAATAAATATTAAAAATTCAAGAGATATTTTTTGTTCTACCAAAAGTTTCACTACAACGAATTTCATTAACAATTCAAGTTTTTTTTTTTTAATTTTACAGTACGGGTTACACTTTAGATTTTTTTTTTCAAACCATTAAAGTTTGGATATTTTTACTTTTCACACAGCTGACATTAAATTTATTCCCTTTGTATATACATGAGTATATTACTTTTCTCCTTTTTCCCATTTTGTTTTATTTACTCTTTCTCTATGTACCTACTTGAAATATTCATGAGGTAAAGAAAGCTTTGAATATATTTTTTTTACGTATTCAAACTCCATATAGATTTTCTTATAAAGCTCGTTTTTATTTCCATTTTCTTCCTTGTTAACTTATTTTGTTCTTATATTCCGTCGGCTTCTACATTTTTTTATTTCTCCAATTACTTGTTACGTAACTTTCTCTAAATTTATTTATTCCTAATATCCTTTAGGCTACTAAATTATGTCCTGCATTTTCTTTAATTCTTGGCTACTTCTTTTATTTGAGATCAGCTGTTATAAATTTTACTATTGTCTATAAAAAAAATTAAATTAAAAAAATCTCATCAAAATTCATATCAAAGTGAATATTTGACTAATGAAAATAATCAAAGTAAACTTTTATACAAATGTGAGCGACAACAAAAAACATTTTAAGGAACTAAAATAAAAAACACAAAGCAAAGCAAACAGCATAGTCTGTAAATTAATTAAAAACAAGAATCTGAGACGTTTGCAAAACACCAATGTTTTATGTAAATCACTCTCAAACCGACGATATCCGCCCATTCTACGCCTCTGCACATTCCGCCGTCGCCGCAAGTCGACACCACCCCTAATGAGTTTGAGACGCCGTCGACGTGTGTTACCACCTTGCCGACTCTAAATATCTGATATTGTAAAAGCGCCGATCTAACACACTTGGTATCTCTCAAATCGTTAAAATAATCTTTAGCACGTAAACACGGCTCGCTGCGCCCATATAATAGTAATTAAAAAACACCCTTAAGATCAATTACACAGAAGATGACTATAATGTTCATATTGACTGTAGCTAGAATGATAGATATGTGTGCGTTTAGGCAGGGTATTTGCAAGCACTTCTAAATCAACCGAAACGTGTAACATTCTCGGTCGAAGTACTTACGGAAATGTCTATTTCTCTCTTTTATGTCACATAATTTACACGTTAAAAAAAAACAATAATCACTAACTAACAAAAGTGTTTACTCTAATAGACCGTAATATATGTATTTTTTTATACTGATACTCAAAGTAGGTATATATTTTGTTTTAGTACATTAAAAATAAACACTCAAAGAAATCATATGCTGCTTGACTTCTTTAAATAGGTTTGAAAAGTTGCAACATGTTTCCTACGTCACAACCTTTAAATCACGTTTTTCTTAGCTTTTAAACCAATCATATTTGAGATATTCATTTTCGTACATATGCAATGATCAAGGTATATGAGACGATACAAAAAGATGATTATTATAAGAACGTTATTTTTACATGCACCAAAATTTTATTGCCATGCAAAGCTAAATACGGTATAAATGTGAAGCATATCCCTTATGACACTGTACAATTACTACTTTTTCTAGGTTTTCCTCAGTTATACGAGTTCTCCTTGATGTTAAAATTGAAAATGATTGTTCAACATCACAATTTTCATGATGATCTTGATCAGAAAAACCGTGAATTGCATGGAACGCCACTGAGGTTGAGACTGCACAGTCGGCCAACCAAATTTATCGCCTGACGTCGCGCCGTCGTTTTCAATATTTGTCTGATTGATTCCCCATCACTTCGGCTTTGCGTAACTCTGATAATAATAGTATATGTACTACATGTGGAAAACCAGATGCAAGAAAGAAGAGTAAGATGAATTTTTTTAAAAGCACTAAAAGAAATTCACGACAGAACTGAAAATATATTATTATTCATGGGAGGTTTAAATGGACGAGCAGAAAACTAGAATGAATATTTAGAAATGGAAGAACCAACAGGGAACAATTAAGGAATCGTGGAACATAGACATTAAAAATATACGTGGAAAATACATTTCAATACAAAAAAGTACCAACACTAAAAAAAATATAAAGATAAACATAAAAAAGTAGAAAATAGCGGTGAAGAAAGCAAAATAGGACTCTTTGATAAAATTTTGTTAAAAGATGACGAAGACCTATAGACAACTCAAAATTAATATAGGACACTGAAACAGCTTGGGTAAAAAAGAATACAATATAATAAATAAATAATTGAAAAAAGACTAGGAAATAGAAACGAAAGGACACTAGGAGGTAACAAATACGGCTTTAGATGTGGAAGAAGTACAAAAGATTTAATAGTTACGCTTACACAAATTAATTATAAATTATATACATTTTTATAAATTTATCTTGTGGGTGAAATAGTACCTGTTAATAATGCTGAATAAGTATTATCAATATATGATTAACTTCAACTTTTTAAGCTTACAAATAGAAAGAATTCGACTATTAAGCACGTACAGATAGATGCTGACCGGAATGAGCGGTGGTGGTAGATAAAAAGTACGTTTGCATTTGTTTTAAAAGAAAATAAAATTTGGAAAATTTTGTCTCCTGAAAATAGAGGAAAAGATTAATTTTTATCAATTAAAAGCTAGAACATTATTTTGGGTAAGTATCTATTATTATGATAATTATCATTTTATTATTATTATCTATGGGAGGCGAAGTGCAATTTTAAGAAACTGAGAAATTCATATGTGCTTTATAGGCCTGGGTATGAAGAGAAAAAAGAAGGAAAGCATTAGAAAGAAGAAATATTAGATAAAAGAAATATTGAAGCTATATAAAATTAGTCTAAGCAAAAAATATTAACAATAGGGAATCGGAAGTATTTGAAAAAAATACAGTATTAAAGCAGGGATGTGTGCTAAGTTCTCTTTTATTCTCAACAGTGGTTGATGAAGCT